TTATATTATGAATTATTAATGAATACATATTTCTTTTATATCATTTATATTATATAATTTATTAATAAATATTTGGTTATATATGTTTACGGTTAACGTACCCAATTGCAAAACTTACATGTTGATACCATGGTGGGGGAGAAGACCTAAGCAGTAAGTATGTTGAACAACCTGTAATGTTTATAACGTGTAAGAGCACATTATACTTTGAAGCAATCAGGACACCAATTTCAGGCATGGTCATCCAATGTTTAACTGGRGCACCTCGATCTAATTGAAAGAAGTTTAAAATATTGTAAACTATATTCCAATACTGACTTCCAAATATGTTGARGTATTCTGTCTTGTATGCGTCTAAAACGAAAGAACTATGTTTCGCTGGTTCCTGGTAGCTTATTTCATTCAAGTAATTTGTAAATAATATATAATAAATTAATATAATAAAATAAATATAAAAATTTAATTATATATATATATATATATAAATAAAGTAATTTGTAAATAATAAAATAACATAAAAATAATAAAATAATATATATATTTTTAATGTAAATATATAAAATAAAATAAAACAAAACTAATAAAATATAATTATATAATTATTGAGTTTATGTTTATGAAAAAAAATTGATGAGTTCAATTTTCAAGAAAATAACACCCTCTACAAAGGGTGTCATTAACATTCCCCTGAATATAGATTGAACAGAATATGCACATCTTAAATACATATTTAAATAAAAATATATTTTTTAAAATTACGTCTTAAACATCATGTCATGAATCTATAAAATAAAACATACAATATTTTTTAGTTTTTTAAAAAGATTAATAAAAATATATATAATTTAATTTTATATAATATTATGGGGTTTTTCTTTCAAGATGCCTATAAATATTGAATAATATCGGTCCAAAGAACTTACATCAAGACATTTGAATTTAAGCCAAGAAACAAATATTTAGTGGCAGGATAATGGCTTCTTCGACTTCAAAACCAAGGTATACTTGAATTGTTAATTATATGGATATATTTTACAGTTATATTAATTACAACTGTGTTTCTTTAATTATAATGACATTTATAAATATAATAAATGTTTAATAAAAAATTATTTATGTATTAACAGGCAAGTAATGACCTTCAATCATAATTTATAGTCTGGATGTTAGTTTAAATGATGTGTTTGAGTTGAATAACAGATGATTTATGTAATTGATTTTTTTATGATTATAATATATGTCCAATTTAAAAAATTGTTAATTTGGATGATGATATACCAAGCTTGTGCTTCGTTAACATGAAACATAATATGTTTCAGGCTTGAAAATAAGGTAGCTATTGTTACGGGTGGAGCTCAAGGGATTGGAGAATGCATTGTGAGGTCGTTCGTAAAGCATGGAGCAAAAGTAGTTATTGTTGATGTCAAAGATGACGAGGGAGAACTGGTTTGCCAAGACTTGGGTGCAGAGTTTGTATCTTTCGTTCACTGTGATGTAACCCTTGAATCAGATGTAGAAAACGCCATCAACACCACCATCGCTAAGCATGGACAATTAGACATCATGGTTAACAATGCAGGAATAATTGACGAGCCAAAACTTAGCATTTTAGACAATGATATGGCAGCCTTTGAGCGTGTTATCAGTATCAATCTAACTGGAGTGTTCTTGGGAACCAAACATGCAGCACGGGTGATGATCCCAAAATGCAGTGGGAGCATCATCACGACTGCAAGTGTAGCTTCTATCACGGGTGGGTGTACATCTCATGCATACACAAGCTCAAAGCATGGTGTGGTTGGACTAGCAAAGAACGTTGCTGCTGAATTAGGAAAGTATCAAATCCGCGTTAATTGCATATCACCCTATTTTATACCAACTCCACTGGCACTTAAGTTCTACTCCATGGATGAAAACTCAACTGCTTACTCCAACCTTAATGGCAAGACACTTAGGCCACAAGATATTGCAAATGCAGCTCTTTTTCTCGCAAGTGATGAGTCAGAGTATATGAGTGGACATAACTTGGTCGTAGACGGTGGTTTCTCCGTTCTCAATCCTGCATTTGGCTTGTTTTCGATAGAATCCTAAATCCTCACATCATTCTTGTGTTTGGTGTGCTTGCGTCTGTTTCCTTGTTTTTAGTTGAATAACGTCATATTTGCACACAGTTCTTATATAAAACTATATAAGCACATGTGACAAATTCTAGACATCTTATGTAATTTATGTTGTTATTTATTTAAGATTGTATTCTATTCCCAATTTATCATCGACCCTCCTAAACATTAATCCTTCGATTATTTTGTTAGTATAACCCCGTAACTGTATTAATTTGTTTGATTAAAATTATTTGATTTATAATTAAACACCCCTTTTGAAAATAAAAATAAAAACCCATTAAAAGGCAAATCATTTTATCGTAATTAAAATTATTATTAATATTAGAAAATGTAAATTAATAATTAATATTTTGAATTTGGTATAAATATTTTTATATACATAATAAGTAAATAGTAAATAAATAAAGTCATATAATTATTTATAACTAAAATATAAAAAGAAAAATGAAGTTTTGTTTTGTTGAGGCGGCGTTAATATATCTGAAAAAGTAGAAATAAACTTCTTATAAATGTTTTTATAAGCTAAGTTATGATTATCAAAAAAGACTCAGATAAAAGTTAAAAAGGAAAACGATCGTTTGAAAGCGAAAATATCTGTAAAACACATGATGATAAGGACATTTAGAAATTGAAATGAAAAGATATATATGGTGAAGTCTCACATCCATATGTTCAATTATGGACCAAATCGACAATAAATTAGTGGTGGGAGAATACGACCTTTTTTGCTCCAAAAGCAAGGTATTGTTTTCATAAATTAATTGAACTGTAATTTGATCAAATTTTTTTGAGGGTTAAGAGAAGAAGACTGAAGATTCATAAAAATAAAAAAACAAATTTAAAATAAAGAAAACCAGTAAAATAACCAAGTGATATTGTTGTGTTCTTCTTGGGTTCATCATTAACAGGTTATCAAGTAAAGCAAACCCTTAAATAAATGTAAAGTTTGATTCATACCCTAAAATAACGATTTTAAAAGTTGGTTTCCCAAAATATGAATTACATAAAAGTTGATTTCATTTTGATGAAATTTTCCCATATAATTAATACGACTAATATTAATTAATAAATCGATGACGTTTCAATAAACTAGCTTATAATCATCTTAAACGTAAATTTTAATAAGCTCACATAAATAAATCATATTTTAATTATTAAACAAGTCATTTTTGTCCATATGTGATCATGAAAATACTTGTAAAAGACATAAAGTTACATGATGATATATAAGAAACCTTATAAAATGAAATAAAAACATGTGTTTATATGTTTTTTTTTTTGACAAATACAATGAATTAAATGAAAAACATCATGTTCAATATGACATGTGACATTGTATATATTATTATATGGTGAAGCCTCATATCCATCCATTCAAATTTGTGCCATGAGACAATGAATTAGTGGCAGAGAATGTGACCTTTGCTGCTCCAAAAGCAAGGTATCTACTCTTTATTTTTTTTAATTAAATAATTGAAGTGTAATTTCATGTTTTTTATGAATTTGTTTATTTATTTTAATTAAAATAATATATTAATTATGAATTTAAGTTTTTTTTTTATTAACCTGGATATTCAGCCCGTTATGTAAACCAACTAATCCCAAGACGACCAACTGCTTTGCAGATAGCACGGAGTTACCGCATTTGAATCTCCATGGCTACAAGGGGTTTTTATTCCTCCTTGGATTTAAGTTTTTTTTTAACATATTGATTACAATGAGGTCATTTAATTAGGATTTAATTTTATAATTTTAAACGGTTAATAGTTAATAATTTGTGTTATGATCAAAAAGTTATCATCTTTGATGTATTGTTTGGTTATGTTTTATTCATCTTGATTTTAACTTGTTTATTTGAATGACAACGGGTCAAAATATTGGGACTTGTGTGTTTGATGGCTAAAGTAAAGAGGGAGGGGGCGGTGATTGTGATCAAGATAAATATAAATGGGGGCGGGGTTGATGATAAGGCAACGAGATGGACTGAGAGGAGGGGAAGAGGAGGCTGTGTTCATCAGTGTCAACTAAATTGGAGTTTTCTTGACAACCAAACATGCAACAAATTGATGATCCCAAACTGTAATCAAACATTATAACAATTGCAATCGTAACATCTACCAGACTATTGCTGGTGGGGTTACATCTCATGCATACACGAGTCCAAAGCATGGTGGGGTCAAATCTACCAGAATGTTGTCGTAGAGGTAGGAAGATATCAAACTCGTATGGAGTTATACAAACTCCTGTATGTCTTCGTGCTTGTCGTTTTGTTCTATTCGTTGTCACTATCTTATTCTGTGAGCATTAAAATAAGTCTTGACAAAAACAGTCCCTCTACTATTTTACGTATAATAAACATTTGTGAATGCATGAGATGTATATGAAGCCAAATTATTTTTGGTCTTTTATTATTGTAAACTGAATTTTTTTAAAATAATAAAAGACCAAAAATGAATTAATTTTTATAAAAGATCAAAAAATCCATATTTAAGAATAGTCCAGGGACCATATTTGGTATTTTGTAATAATAATTAGTCATCGGGCCAAAGCGACGTCTTTAGCCTTTTTCACTCTTTCCTTCCAACTCGGAAAGTAAGAAACACCCCTTCCCCTTCCTGGAAAACGAACTTTTCGTAGAAATTTGAGGATTTCGCTGCTTTCCCCCTCTTAGATCTGCAAATTAAAGTAGATAGCACATTTTGGTAGTTGTAAATTGCGAGTGGAAATGTTCCGATTCGAGCAAGAGAAAATCAGAAAACGAATTTGATTGTCATTTGCTTTGTTCGAGTAAAACTCAACTTTCAGATTTAGTACAGAATTTTCGATTCTTTTGTTAAAATTTGTTTGGTATGGCGGACGCATTATCTGCCATTCCGGCGGCCGTGCTGCGAAATTTAGCTGATAAGTTATATGAGAAACGGAAAAATGCTGCACTTGAGGTCAGGGTTTTGTAATTTCTGTGATGATTGAACTTTTTAGTTTTAAGGGTTTTGGATCTAAGGTTTTTGTTTTTGTTTAGGTTGAAGGAATTGTAAAGCAATTGACAGCTGCTGGAGATCATGATAAGATTACTGCTGTTATTAATTTGTTGACACACGAGTTTGCTTATTCGGCCCAAGCAAATCACCGCAAGGTATTACAGATTATGACATTTCCTTGATTTTAATTTTCATTGTTGGTAATTATGTGTTAATGTTCTTCAGGGTGGGTTGATTGGATTAGCTGCAGCTACTGTTGGGTTGAGCGCTGAAGCTGCACAGCATCTCGAGGTTTGGGTTAATTTGTTGGTTTATCAAAGTGTGTATACACACACACACACACACACACATACAGATAGATAAATAGGATGACCTTCATTTCAGAACTCATAAAATTGTGATAACTGTGAGAACTACTATCATAAGATGTTGTTTTACATGATTTTTTTTTCATCTAAGGCTATTTAATATACTGATTAACATATATCTGTTTCATAATGTGAACATTTTTTATGTGTTTGTGAAACAAAATATACAACTAAAAAGTTTCACATTGTGAACTGAATAGGCAAATACATATGAAACAAACACGTTGTGAAACAAATAGATGCTAATCAATATATTAAATAGCCTTAGATGAAAAAAAATCATGTAAAACAAAATCTTATGATAGTAGTTCTCACAGTTATCACAAATATATGGGTTCTCAGATGATTAAGCCCCTGTGTATATACATAGTCTCAATCATTTGCAAACCTCTTACTTCATACAAACCGATCTCAACCATCCATTTGGTTCTATAAATATCTCAATTGTTTCTTAATCTAAATCGTTGATCATAACGAATGAACTCTGATAAGTTGTACATAAATATCCAAATGATAATAAATGAGCCCTCAATCGTTTTTATAAATATATCAATTGATTGATCTATATGAATTAGAAGGGTTGCAAATGATTGGAACTCTCTCTCTCTATATGTGGCAAATCCTCACTCACATTCCTTGTCTTTGGTGGTGAAGTTCGAACCTTGACCTCTTGAGGTGTAAGATTGGCAATGGGTTGGTGGTTTGTTGCTATAGATGAATCTAAGTTTATAACTTTGATTTCTTTTTAATATTCAATTATGCATATGTAAGGGTAGTGCATTATAATGGTTTGCAATATGTGAGTTGAGATGTTAAATGGGATGTGATTCATCAGTACTGGTTTAGTATTTGTAAACCTAAACATACAACTGGTTTAGGTCCTATGCTTGGGAGGCATTTACCAAGTGGCTTACCGGGTCGCTTACCTTAACGGGTGAGATTGTCAAGGACTGAGAATCTTACCAAGTAAAAGGCATGATAACAACCGAGGTTCTTATCTGGTAATTGAGGGAGGTGCTTACCGCTTACCCGGTAAGCATTTGGTAAATGGCCCTTCTGATTAGAATATTGTTGATTACATTTATTCATTTTGGTTAAGCATGAGAAAATTGTTACAAGAACCATCCTAGATTGCGCAGGTAGTATTAGGAACTTTCTAGGTTTCCAAAATTTATGATCTATGAAATCAATTATGCATTGATTGAGCTCCAGTGTTCAATTTCTTTCCTTGTATATGATATTCAAGAATGTCAATATATCAACAAAAATCCATTACTACACAGATTTATACAGTTATTTGGATTTTAGCCATTGACACATAGATAAATAATGTATGGAGTTTTTCATGAGCTTAGAGTTTGGTTTGAATCTTTTAGAAACGAAGATGTAAGATTATGATTTATTTTATGACTATAGTGTGCAGAAGAGAAACCTCGAGGCCATGTCTGTTATAAATTTTCGGTTATGATCATTTACTGCATCTTTGGCATCTTTATATACCTTATGAGATGCAATAAACCTAGCATGGGTTTTGCTGGTAAAATAATCAATTGGATAATCAAGAGTTGCCATTTGCCAAACAGCTTATATACCTTTTTATGATGAAACCAATTCAGTTGGTTGTTCAAGTTTTACTTGGAAAATGAGCAACCCCATGAATGTATATTATACAACTCAATTTATCATGAAGTTGTAGCTTGATGTGGTTAACTTGCATAGCTTACTTATAATGGTTCCTGGGTTTGAAACTCTTCTCAAGCTGCTTTGAGGACTTTGCCAATCCAATTTTTTGTGTTAATTTTCAGAAATAATATTCTTGGTCTACCATTACCCTATATCTTTTATCCAAAAGTGTTATCATGTTTCAATGTAACGTAACCTATTAGTTGGATTTATAGGGCATACAAATGAATGAGGTGAGTTTTTGCTGCTTGAGACGTTAAGTGTCCCAAGCTCATCTTGAGTTCCAATTTCATCACTAGCTTGACTTGGATGGGTGGATGCTGATTGAGCGACATATTCTAATTTCAATGGATTTGTAAAACTGACTAGTCTAGTATGTAAAATTTCACATATCTGTATATCTTGGAGTTGCTACTTGATTGTGACTGGCTCTGTGTTGGTAAAAGAGCATGCAGTTTAAATTGGGGAAATTGACCAAATTAGCCATTTTAGACGAACATCTTTTCTTTTTAGCCAACTTTTCATGTTTGAACCAACATAGCCAAGCTTTCACAAGTGCCTCTTTCACAACTTGTGAAATTTACATTTTATGAATAAAATATGATTCTGGTGGGTCATTTCACAAGCCACTAAGGAGATTTTGCAAGCCGCCACGCCAATTTCGCAAGCTGATTCCATCATGATCATTCTCATTCAGACAAAGTACATCTCGCAAGTTGCGAAAGGAACACTTGTGAAGTCTTGGCTATTTTGGTTAAATTGAAAAAAGTTTGGCTAAAAAGTGAAGATGTTAGTTCAAAAATGATTAGTTTGGTCAAGTCCCCCCTAAATTGATTTGCTAACCATTTTTTAGGGAAGATACTCTTTAAACAGCCCGTGACTCCAAGTAACTGTTGTCTTATGTAGTCTACCTTTACGTTAGAAAATTGTTGTTCTAACTTGTATCATGCTCTATTCTACGTCCATATGTTACCAAGAAGTTTATTTTACAGGAAGTTTGGGTTAGTTGCTTGTTAAATGGTAAGTAATACTGATTTTTTTTTGTCATGCGACTTACCAGCAAATTGTACCACCTGTGATAAACTCTTTCTCTGATCAAGATAGCAGAGTTCGTTATTATGCTTGTGAAGCATTATACAACATTGCCAAGGTGAGAAAGAATTCAGACTTCATCAAACGAGCCTGTTCAATATAACAATTTTTGACCTTATCCCATGCCTTTTTGCAGGTTGTGAGAGGAGAGTTCATTGTACATTTCAACAAGATATTCGATGCATTGTGTAAGCTTTCAGCAGACTCGGATCCAAATGTACAGAGTGCTGCTCATCTATTAGATAGACTTGTCAAGGTAAAAGACCTTTTCATTTTGTTTTTATCTGTTAGTCAGTCTTACCTACGTTTGTGACTATTGAATATTTGCTTTACTTGTTTCAAACAGGACATAGTGACCGAGAGTGATCAGTTCAGGTGATCATCTTCTGGCTTTATTTTTCTATATCTGATTGTCTTGCTTAATAAAATTTGGTTAGTTTTTATGTAGGGTTATGTATTATGATGTGATGTTCTTTTTAAAATTCTACTGTTTTTTCTTTGTCAGCATTGAAGAATTTATACCATTGTTGCGGGAGCGCATGAATGTCTTGAATCCCTATGTCCGCCAATTTTTGGTGGGATGGATCACGGTGCTAGACAGTGTTCCAGACATTGATATGCTCGGTTTTCTTCCTGATTTTCTTGATGGTAAAGGATATTATGTCGGTTAATAGGCTGTTACTGTCAGTTCATATCTTTTTGTTGCAGACCTTTATAAACTCTACTGACATGACTAGCTCTCAGGTTTATTTAATATGTTAAGTGATTCCAGCCTTGAAATCCGACAGCAAGCTGATTCAGCACTTTCTGAATTCCTTCATGAGATCAAGAACTCTCCGGTAAGATCTGCATACAGAATTTGTTACCATTTCTTTGATATCTGTAGTATATGCTGCTTGATTAAGTTCTTTGCATTCAAGCATGATGACTGGTTCGTGACAGCCGTAATGGACTTGATGATTTGTGGTTAAGATATTGTAGGGTTGTTACTAAATCTTGTGTATTTTTAATTTTATTGTTTATTTGTTAATTTCTGACTCTAGCAGTGCTACTCTTGAAGTCTGTAGATTATGGTCGGATGGCTGAAATACTTGTACAGCGGGCATCCTCTCCTGATGAATTTACTCGTTGGACCGCAATCACATGGGTAAGGATATTTTGTCAGTTATGGGAGGTTTGGTTGGTTTTTCATTAAGTCTTGTATGGCTGTCTGTATGGATTAACCTATCTGTATAGATTGAGAAGGTATTTGTTTGGGTGGGTTTTTCATAGATGGTAGGAGCGTATTTTTTTTACTGGGAGGGTTTAGAATACACTTGGCTTTCTGCATAACCCCCTAAGAAACATACCCTTGGTTCATATGCATCATTCATTCTCTTAGGTGCACATTCTGATGGGTTTTTGGAGTTTATTTGTGCAATTTTATTTGTCAACACATTGATTAAACAGCTTTGTGCAGATAAACGAGTTTGTAAAACTTGGCGGAGACCAGCTTGTTCCTTATTATGCTGATATATTGGGAGCTATCTTGCCTTGCATAGCTGATAAAGAAGAGAAAATACGAGTTGTAAGTTTGTACTCCCTTTCTTTTCCGGTTAAAAGATTTAGAGGTTTCATGAAGCTGAAACTAGATAGACGCCACTGGGATTTCTGACTTTATAAAAGGTAGAATCATGTGTGAAAGATGGCCTTTGGGCATTATTTTTCTTTAAAGGCCTCTTGAATTCGAACATTGTTCTGTTTTTTGTTGGACGAATTCCAATAGAGGCAGATTCTCAGAGTCCTTTCAAGCGCAAACCCGTTCTTTTTCTGAATTCCATGTCTATCATCTTCACCCACAGTATGTATGATGATTGTTTTGATGTTTTTGGCCATCAGGTAGCTCGGGAAACAAATGATGAGCTCCGTGCAATCAAGGCTGACCCAGCTGAAGGGTTTGATGTTGGAGCAATCCTCTCCATTGCAAAAAGGTCTAGTATTAGCACTGTTTATAAGTTGCATACAAAATTTATCGTGCTTTTTTCTTTTCTATATTAAAAAGTGACGCAAAATTGTTTCTGTTGGGGATGGATACTTGCAATGGTGGGATTTCAGTATCACGTTGAATCTTTTTTGCATTCAGTAGATGTTATGAAGAGTCTGTACTGCATTATACGTTAGTATTGAGTAATGCCTTTTTCACTATTTTACCAGGCAGTTGTCTAGTGAATATGAGGCTACTCGAATTGAATCATTGCACTGGATATCAGCCCTGTTGAATAGACATCGTTCAGAGGTAACCTTAAATCATCAGAATACGTGCCTTTTATTTCTAGAATAGTTGCTAACTTTTAGGTCTGTAATCAACATTCTGGTCTGCATAAGAGCCATGATTCAAGTGTTTTGTACTTGTGCTTATGCTACATAGCAACTGTTTCTGGGTACAACTTGTTTTATTTGTTCACTTTCATGGCCCATTGTGTTAAAAAATCTTCCCAATCATGTATTTATGTTATTCTTCCTGGAGATGTATTAAACATCGATTAAATACTTGGTTAGATAAGGAGAAAGTTTATTGAGATCTTAAAATGTGTTACAGGTCATGTCCTTTCTGAATGATATTTTTGACACACTTCTGAAAGCACTATCAGATCCTTCTGATCAGGTAATCTTTTGTCTGCGCTTCATTGCCTGTGTAAATTGGTTCATCTGAATCTGCTTATGTATTTAAGAACACCCTTTTATTGAAGGTGCCGCCTTGGGAAAGGCTGGTTGTCTGTTATCCAGACTATGTAATAATCGGCTAATTAAACACCTAAGAAAAGCGAGGAAGGTAATAAAACGGAATGTATAATGTCTAGGGATTTTGATAAAGAAATCCATATGTCATGCTAGCATATAAATGGACAAGTTTCAGGAAAGATAATTAACCCTTGTTAGCATAAATTTATAAGCACTATCTTATTCAGTTCTACAATTCAATGGTAAATTGTTTGATATTTAGACAAAATCAAAAAGTTATTAGGACTTGTAACTATTATGGTTTGGTTGTTTCTCGTGCAACTTTGCAGGTGGTGCTCCTAGTTCTGGAGGTACATGCGTGCATAGCAGAAGATCAACATAACTTCCGTCAGCTTGTTGTTTTCTTAGTTCACAAATTTCGAACAGATAATGCACTTCTAGAACGGTGAGATCTAATATTTTCTCTTGAACTAAATATTGTTTGGATTACCTCTTTTTTCCTTCTTTTAATGCCTTTGTATGTTCTTTTTTATTTCTTTCTTCTAGGCGCGGTGCTTTGATAATTCGCCGACTTTGTGTGCTTTTAAATGCTGAAAGGGTCTACCGAGAATTGTCCAAGATTCTTGAAGGGGAAGCGGACCTGGATTTTGCATCTACATTGGTCCAGGTAAACAGAGATTCAGCTTTGAATCTTTTTTCTAAAAATTTAATTAGATTAAGAACAATAAATCATATGTAGCTTTTTATATTTTTTTTAATATACCCGTTTCCATTTTTTTTCATATTCCAGGCTTTGAATTTGATTCTGCTTACTTCTTCTGAGTTGGGTGACCTACGAGATCTTTTAAAGCTTTCGTTGGTTAATGCTTCTGGAAAAGACTTCTTTCTTTCACTGTATACCTCATGGAGCCATTCGTCAATGGCCATAATAAGTCTTTGCTTATTAGCACAGGCAAGTTCTAAATTATTTATTTGGCTGTTAATTCTGATTGTTCTCTTATATTTTTATTTTATTTTGTAGGCTTACCAGCATACAAGTTTTGTAATTCAGTCTCTAACCGAGGAGGATATTAATGTCAGATTCTTGGTTCAGCTGGACAAACTGATCCACCTATTGGAGACTCCAATTTTTGCTTATCTTAGATTACAGGTTCTCCGATTGCTGTTTCTTTCTGTCAAGTTTATAAATGTGGAACATCAAGTTCATTTATTTTTTATTCTAGGATCATTACTCATAATAGTAAACAGACCTATTTGATTATGAAAATAAAATATTTGCAAATATGTTACAGAAATGCTGCATATAATGTGATTCCATGTTCTTGATTTGGTGCACACAGAAACTCTTATATAGCATACAAGGCCATCCTAGTATTGGATCATCTCTTCATATATTTTTGGATGAATCAGCTAATTTTCGTCTTTCTTGCAGCTTCTTGAACCTGGGAGATATATATGGTTGCTAAAAGCCTTGTATGGTCTTCTTATGCTACTCCCCCAGGTATATCTTGTTAATGCAGTTTTTTTTTTTTTTTTTTTGGAAAAGGGGTGCAGTCTGTGTCCACCAAATGATAGAAGAAATGCATTCCTATGTACATATATACATATAGGGTTTGGTTTAGAGGAAAACCACAAAAATTTGAAAACTACATATAGGGTTGGGTTCTGAGGAAAACCACAAAGATGGAAAACCGAGGAACATCCTAATAACCATTCATTTTTCCGGTATGCACATGTGCATAGAAAATAGGAAACATTTTCAATTACTTTTATGCACATGTGCATGCCAGACAAATGAATGATTATGAGGGTGTTCTTCTGTTTTCCATTTTTTGTGGTTTTCCCTTGAACCCAAGTCTATAAGTATGTATATGTGTGTGTGTATTCATATGTATATACACACATTAACATATAGATATATTCATATGGTTATATGCATGTGTGTACATCCATGTATATATACATACACACATGTTATCTTTTTGATGATGGAACTAAGAGCTACTAAACATATTGAAGTTGAATTTGCTTTCTATCATCTATACATCATAGTCTAGTAACTTCCTGCAAATAGAAAATTATTATCCATTTCCACTATTTATATGGTTATGTATCTGTAATCATCTCTTATTAGTCCAATTGATGTTTATATCTTGTATCTTAAACGCCTCATTGCAGCAAAGTGCCGCCTTTAAGATTTTGAGGACTCGTTTAAAGACAGTGCCTTCTTATTCCTTTAATACGGAGCAAGTCACTTTTGCATCATCTTCCATTCAGACAATGCATATTTCGGAGGATGGTAACGTGAATGAGGATCCTGGTAACGAGCATAATGGAATAAACTTTGCATCTTGGCTGCGAACGTTTAAACAGATACAACAGCAGCATCGCGTTTATTTGAAATCACAGGCTTCGTCACAGAGCAGTTCCATATCCTCAAAGGTTTGTCCTATTTTTCTTTGTTTTTTTCTTGTTAAGGGTTGATAATGTGGGCAGGCCATAGTACAACATCGTGATGTTCATTTAAAACAATGGAATTGAGCATAATGTTCTATAACATTGTGCATTATTGGCATTAAAAAGTCACCGGACATACGGGTCATTGCACGATAGCTTTTGACCCATGATGTCCAAACCATGTATGCTGTGTACTCAAAGGAAAGTAGGAGGGAAAGAAAAAATCTTGTATTCTCGAGTTTTTTAGGAGGGGAAAGAAAAGAAAGTGAATGAAAATAATGCTGATTTTGCTCACACAACTTTCCTCCCGAAGGTAGGAGGAAAGTGAGAGAGAAATAATAAGCTAAAATCTTACATATTTCACCACAAGAAAGAGGAGATCATTTCAATAGTATGTAGAAAATGTTAAGACTTGAAAGAGAAACAATTCTTTAAAAAAGCTAAAAAGGTGAAAGAGCATTATGGGTCACTTTTACAATGTAAGTCTGTGTGAACTGATAAATTGATATACCATTCATGATGAATGACCCCTGAATGTACGGGGCATGTGACACAGTCCCCCCCCCCCCCTTGCGGGTTTTCATAACGAAAGTTGAAGTAAATGTTTTGCAGGTGGTGGAGGTCAAAAAATCCAAACAACCGAAAGGACCTTTGGGCGTGGCAGATAGACCGCCTTCTAGATTATCCCGTAAAGGTCCTTGACAACTGCGGTGATCTGCAACTACAGCCATCGCTGTATTTCTACAGCCAGGTTTTGGTATAAATTGTAAATTGTACATCACAATTCATCCTAGTAATTTTGTCCAACTCACCAAGGTCCCATGGCAGGTATTATGGTCTCTGTTTCTGTTTTGTTTTGTTTCCTGAATTATGAGCTATTCTTTAAGGTTGCTCTGGTGGTTGTTTGATTTTTTTGTTGAAAACCACAGGGGCAGAGGGTAGGTAGGGGTAGGAGTAGGGGTAGGGGTAGGGGTAGTAGGGGGGTAGATATGAAGTTAGAAGTTGGTTGCTATTTTATAAATAAGAAAATAAGTAATTTATTTACTACATGTTTCCTGTGTAAACAACTTTGTATGGTGAAGTCAAACACATATTAGACTTGTCTTAATTTAAATATATAAATATAAAACAATGTTGTTTGAAGTTTAAGAAAACATTAAGCCAAAAGATAAGGCTAATTAATTGTTAATACTATTGATAATGGTAAGAGTTATTTACCAACATAAATTAGTAGGTATTGATTGAGTTATGAATGTGTTATTTTTTATAATTGTTGAAAAGCCTTTTTTTTTGTATTTGATAAATTGTTTAGATTGCTATTTTTTTTTTATAATTGTTAGATATTAAATTTTATTAAGATGTTTATCAGCTTTTCATTTTTTACGGTTTTTTTTAACCTGACACATTTATATATGTATAGAGTTGGGTTTCGGTAAAAATGAGAGTTTATGTGGGAAATGTAAAAATAGATCTTCATCCTTGGATGCACATTAGAATGAGATGCATCGGGTTGCACCGGTTCACTTCTCGTATCAAGAGCGATTCAGGATGGGTTTGAGATTAAAAATGATCAAGGGTCTAAATCCCTTTTTATATTTCTCATCTTAACTCTTTTTCTTACACGACCCTTCGCATAAATATATATATACACACACACAGAGGGAGAGGTTCAAACAAAAACAATAACAAAATAAGAGAATATGAAAACAACTAATTCACGTGCAAAATCATGATTTTACTCTAATAGTCAACGCAAGGTCGCGGGTAAAGTTGCATAAATCACATTGGTTTTACACGTGATTTTAATATAAAATCACATGTGATTCAATCATTTTTTTATTATCTTATTTGGTTAATGTTCTCTGGTTCTCCCCGAAATGCGTTGAGGCGCAGCAGTTGACTGGACATCTAGGGGTAAAGCACTGTTTCGGTGCGGGCCGCGAGAGCGGTACCAAATCGAGGCAAACTCTGAATACTAGATATGACTTCAAAATAACAGGGGTCAAGGTCGGCCAGTGAGACGATGGGGGATAAGCTTCATCGTCGAGAGGGAAACAGCCCGGATCACCAGCTAAGGCCCCGATCATATCTCTCTATATATAATCATAGAGGAAGGATCATGCGAAAAGTTAAAAAAAGTTGCAAGAAGTTAAAAATATTTACAAGAATGCAAGAAGTTTCAGTAACATATATGATCACATTCTTTTGAATGTATTTAATTATATATGATTAAGCGTCTATATATTGTCATGCAACATATATTTAATCATATATGATTAAACTTATATGTCATACCATACGTGTAATTATGTATGATATTAAAACTTATAGCTTATCACTTAAACATGTTCCTATAATCATAAAGAATGTAAAAGATAATCTCATCAAAGTAAAATTATTTCTATATAAATATCCACTAAACGTGCACGGATGTTGAGGGGCAAAATTGACGATTTTCAAATTCAAACTTAATAAAACAATATTTATTTTAATCTAAAATAGATTCTCTTTTAATTTTTAAATTCAAAATATCTAAAAATTTGACAAATATTCATAAACAAATAATATTAAAGAGATATTTTATTATATTTAATTTCACATCAAAATCGCTATAATTCTTTTTTAAAAAAATTAATCAATCAAGAATTTTAAATATTCATAGTTATATCACATATGAATGTTACTTTACGATCAACTTAATTCTTAATCATTCTTAATCATTCATTCATCCATTCGTATTTGAATTCGGGTGTTATTTAACATAACAACATTCATTCACATGTGAATTCATAATCTTATTTCTTGTAACAACATCTATTTACGTGTAAATTCAAAATGTTATTTAATGTAACATGTTTACTTATTCGTTTGGACTTGATTGATTACGAACTAATACCATCCATTGGCTTTACGTTTTAAATATTACCTCCCAGATTTTTAATATTCAATTATGATTATACTACAAAATATAATATGAGAAACTGAAACATACAAACAAAAGAAAAAATTCATAGTTTTAGTAAAATAAAAAAAATGGATTATATGCATCATGATCTATACTATATTATAAAACATTTGACAAAAACTCTTAAAAACTATTTATTATACATGAATTACTGTTTATTGATGCATATTACTTAAAATTCAAGATTACAAGTAATTTTACGTAAGTACAACTTATTAAAACTTTATTTTCAAATTCGTGTAACTAACTGCAGATAAACATAATCAAAATAGAAGATAAACATCCATTTTAGACATAGAAAATCTAAAATATAATTAAGATAGTTATTGAGTTCTAACAGAATGTTTAATTATTATTTTTATAAAAAATTATATTATTAAACCAAAAATAAATTACTTTGTTATTAAATATAAATTGAATTATAATAAAAACTGAATTAAAAAACTTGCACAAAAAAAAAAGAACTATTAAATAAGTAATTTGATACTAATATCGATTTATTTATTTTTAAAATTTTATGCAATTTTTAAATTTATATTTCATTCAAAAATAAAAATATTATCGTTTTCTCAAAAACACATAAAATCGTATTATATCATAAAATCAAGATTTATCTTGTTATACTGTGAGATTACCTTGCTACTCCAATAAAACGTGATTAAATAACGTCATGGACTTTTTCAAATTCAAATGGGAAAATGAGATAAAAGATTTCAAAAGTGGTTACCATGTCTTAATAAAATAAAGAAAAATGGTTGACACAACTTAAACAATCAAATAATATAAAGCTTTTATAAATATTTTTTTAACTATATAATATATTTTATATACGACAAATGTAACAAATAAATTCACACACCCACTTAATCATTGATGATGTTTGAACCTCTAACCTCTTCTTAGAAGGCAAGAGTCTCCGATATCGTTAGGCCAAAGGTTCTTTGATGCTTTTATAAATATTTCTCGCATTCTTTACGCTTAATTATTTCTCATTTAAATGTAGCTGTAAATAGTATTAGGTTCAAATAAAAAATATTTTAAGACTGAGGGGTTGTTTGGCAATTGCTGAATGATTTGGTGCAGAATGATTAAGTGATCAGAATGATTAATAGGCTCTCATGATATAGTTCAAAATGAACTATAATTGTTTGATAACTGTTTACAATAAAATTGGGGCGCTGAATGGTTAAAGGAGGCCTATGATACAAAATCATTGCCTATGATACAAAATCATTTTGGGGGTTTTAGAACCGTTAAGAGACTGCTCTTTTTTTTTGCCAAACAAGATTCACTTCTTAACGATTCAGAGTCTGCCTCTTAATGGAACTATTAAGAGGTAAACAAACAACCCCTAAGAAAAGTAATCTCAATTACTAGATTATAGTTTTGATTTTCAAAACTTTTTAACTAATTGTGATAATTATAAAAAAAAGAATTAAATATATTGATTTATCTTCTATTTTTCTATAAATCTTTTATCTTCCATTTTTTCCTATGCATTAACTATTTTTTTAAATCACCAAAAATGACATGTGTTATTTATAGCATATAGATTATATATGGAAATCTATTTATTTTTATAAGTTTTATTTAATTAAGATATTTATGTAAAAATTTATAATTTTTATGATTTAAGCATGAATAATTTTTTTATTTTTATGACATTTAAAATAAGTATGATTTATTTTTGAATGGGAATATTTGCACCCCCACCTACATGTTAAAGATACCCCCAAACTATTATTCATCATAACTCAACAGTTATATCATTTACAGATTTATTTGTATTTTAATTATATTTTATATATAACTTTTATTTCATTTAATCAAACTTTTATTATTATTATTATTATTGTTGTTGTTGTGAAACTTCATTTAATAT